CTTCGGCCCTCCGGCTGGAGTCCCCTCACTGTCGGCAGTTTCCTCCAGGCAGAGATTCTCAAGCCTCCCCTGAGCCCCAGTTTCTGCTGTACACCCCCAGGCTAACCCCCATCCTCCCTGCCCGTCCTCCCTCCCTCCCTCCCACACTCGCTCACCTCCAGCCGCGGCCTCGCTGTTCCTCACGGGCACGAGCTCCTCTCTGCCTGACTGCTGGGTCCCGCCCTCGCTGCTCCTTAGCCTGAGCCTCGCCCCCCACATCCCCCTGCCCTCCCGCCTCACCTCCTCCTCCCAGGGCCATCCCGTCTCAGCGCGGCTCTCCTCAGCCCTCGTCGCGGCGCTCGCCCCACACCTGCGCCGGGACAGACACAGGCTCCCGGCGCGACTGGCGGCTCGCCCGGCCCCGCCCCCTGGTTCAGGGACCGCTCAGCGCCCGCCCACCCCGTGCCTGCCCCGCCCCAGGCCCCGCCCCGTGGTGCAGACCACGCCCACACAGGCCCCGCCCCCCGCGATGGGTCGTCGCGCGCTCCTCCACTGCTGTGGCCGGGCGCGCCCTGGGCCCACCCTCGCGGCGTTCTGATTGGCTGCTCGGGCATGGGCCCATCGTGCTTCCCAGGTCGGCCGAGTCGCGCGCATATGTAGTCCGCGCGGGCCGGCCTTTGGTCGCGGCGCTGGTGGGCGCAGAGCGAGCGGCAGCAGTCATGACGGAGGGCACGTGAGTCTTCGCGTCCCGGAGCCGGCTGGACGAGCGGGCGCGGTCGGGCGCTGGGAGGGGTCGCAGCGGAGAGGGTGTCCGCAGCGCGGGGCCGAGGAGAGTCGGGTGGGCGCGGGCTCCTGGGCGGGTGCCCCTGCGGCCGGCGTCGCCACTCTCCACGACAAATAATGGTGCAGTCGCTGGACGCAGAAGTGGCGCCAGGAGCGTTTTCATTTTCGCGATGAGGAATAATGGCGGTGGGGTCTTAGACGCGAGCCCTCTGGGCGCCGGCCTAGCGATGCGGCGGCGGAATGGCCGTTCACTAGCGCACGACCGTCCTCAGGTGTCTGCGCCGCAGAGGGGGACCCTATAAGACACAGCCCGCCACCGACCTCAGCCGCTGGCGACTCAGCAATGAGAGGGGAAGGCAGGTGTGGACGTATTTTCAAGAGGACAGCCCTGACCGGGAGCAGACTGCGCTGGAAGCTCACTCCGTGGGGCTGGACACCGTAGGTGCCGAACCTGCGGGTCACGCCCAGGGCCTGGGACTCCGCGGGCCTGGCCGCGCCCCTTTCCCTTAGCCAGCAGCGCCGGGAGCCCACGGGGAGCTTAGGAAAGCCGCCTGGGAAGGGTGGTTTTCCCTTGTCAGCAGAGAAGAGGTGCATCATGTGGGGCCTGGGCCGCGTGTCACCAAAGCTGGTTCCTACAGGAATCGTTTGAGCTAAAGGCAGAGCATGAATTGAATGGACCCCTTTGCTTCCGTTCCTCTGTCACGAAGTCGTGCGGAAGAACTTTGTCCTCTACCTTTGTTTTTATTCGGAAAGAGAAGTTTTTGATCTAATGAATTTCATATAAGAAATCCCGCTGCTCAAAGAGTATGCGGTGTGCCTGGGGTCTCCCGGTGGAGCCCTGGCTCCCGGTCCCTTTGACTTCCTTTGGCCCCTTCCCGTGAGCGTCCTGAGCCCCAGGCCTGGGCGGGCATCAGCTCCGCACCCCCCACTCGTGGGCCCCTGGTGTGGTCATTTAAGAAGTCCTGGAGAAGTTGTGAAGACATTTGCAAACGTGTGTGACTGGAAGGCAAAACCATGAGAACTGCTGTGGGGATAACACCATCCTCGGGGTTCATATTTTGGATCGAAGCAGCTGAAGCTTTTAAAGTAGTTCAGGTTCATTCTTTGACCTGGGCTGCGAGAGAGTTGCGCTTATGCAGCCTGGCCACAGACCCCCTCAGCTCTCATCTCTTTTCTCCTTTGCAGGGGAGTTACTTTAAAGACTTGCCCAAAGCCCACACAGCCCGTGAGGGGGCTCTGAATGGGATGACATTTTACGTGGGGCTGCAGGCCGAGGACGGCCACTGGGCGGGTGATTACGGCGGCCCGCTCTTTCTCCTGCCAGGTAGGAGGGTGCTGCCCCGGCCAGTGGGCGAGCCACCTGGGGCATCATAGGGGTCCTGGCCTGAGCTCATTCCTGCCCTGGGTGGACGTCTGTGGTGAATGGGTGAGCAGGTGCACACGGGAGCTCACGCAAGAGTCTGGGGAGGGTTGCCGGCGTCCTGATTGTCCGGTGTTCTGCCAAAGGAAACAGGTGCCCTAGGGGCAGGGGAGGTGTCGCTGGAGTCTCAGAGCAGAGCAGCAGGGGCACTCCAGGTGGAGGGCCAAGCCTGTGCAAAGGTGCCAGAGGTGGGCCGGCCGAGTGGCTCAGTTGGTTAAGAGCTTGCTCAAGAGTGTGAGCTCTGAGCAACAGTGGTTCGATTCCCAGCCCGAGCTGAGCTGCCAACAGGTAGCAGGATGGCTCAGCTTAAAAAAAAAAAAAAGGTGCCAGAGGTGGGCAGAATTCTGGGTGGGGGTCTTTAAGTCCTCTGCTGGCAGTTTGGTCCGGTGAACTCACCTTGAAGGGGTAACTGACAGAGCTTAGACAGGTGTGCTACAGGTTGGGGTTAGTGAGTGCCCGGAGGGTTGCAGCTGGGTCCCCAGGCCTAGAGTTGGTTTAGCTAGATAAGACTGTTGCATCCTGGGACTGTCTCTCTAAAGAAACACTCAGTCTTGTACTGTGGGAAATCCACCTGTAAGAATGTCTGCAGAAGGATCCCTCCCCTGGTGGGAGGAGCACTGCAGAGCCGTCAAGCTCCCATCTCCGCTTTGCCTCCAAGCCCCGCTGCCTCCTGGACTGTACAGCTGTGAACCTTTCTTTCAGGGACCCCAGGCCTGTCCTTGGGGGCAGCGCAAGGGGCTCTTTCTTCCCTTGTCCTGTCGAGGACTCTTTCCAGGCTCTGCTCTGACTGGGCCAGGGATAGGGCTTGGGGTGATGAAAAGTGGGATTGGTGAGCACTGATTCCGGGGTCCCACGCCCTGGGCTCCAGCCCCAGGCTCACCATTTAGGGGGCTGCACCTCCGTTTCCTCGCCAGCAAAATGGGGGAAGACACTGCTTCCTGCCTGTGTGTTTCCTGTCTTGACAGCGTCTTGACGATTAGGAGAGGAGGTGGCCTTGTTTCTGTGAGCCTCTGTTGCCTCCGTGCCCATCTGCCCTTCCTCCAGGGCGAGTGTGGCCAGTGTGGCTACCAGGGCTCTGATGCCTCTGAGCCAGAGCGGGGCACTGTTCACAGCACCTCGTGAACTGATGTGGCTGATGGAGCTGATGCCGGGATGGGGGTGGCGGGGCAGCTGTGAGCCCCGTGCTCAGGAGGGCCAGGCAGGGAAGGGGGGCTTTTCTGTGGATAATGTTTACTCTTGCCAACTTCCCCCATTTGCAGAGTGACACATGCTAGTAAACAACTTACAAAGCAGAAACATGTAAGCAAGTAAACGTTACCCCACCGTGGGGTGCCCCAGCAGGCGTGACACATTGTGGGGCCCTGGAGTGGCTGGCTGGGCTCCGCACGCCCCGTATGGGGAGTGCCTCGTGTGCTGTTGCTGCCGCACCTGGGGCCTGTTCCCACAGTCCCTGACGGTGCCAGGAGGAGCAGCCTCCCAGGCTGGTGTGTGGGAGGGAGGCCTCTGGAACAGCTTGCATCGTCGCGTGGTGTCCTCAGCAGGATAGGCGCCGGCTCAGCCTGCTGAGGGAGGGACCCCTTCTGCCACACAGGCCTCCTGATCGTGTGCCACGTGGCGCACATCCCTCTGCCGGCGGGGTACAGAGAAGAGATGACGCGGTACCTGTGGTCCGTGCAGCTCCCGGATGGCGGCTGGGGTCTGTGAGTGCACCCGGCCCTGTCACTGTGCATGTGTGATTCGTGTGCACACGTTAGGGCATGGACCTGTAGCAGGGCGGGGTGACTAGCCATGGGCCTGGACTTGGGGGTTTAATGTCTCAGCTTGTGTTGGAAATTGGTCTCGTGACTGGTTGACCGACGCGAGACCCTCGCACTACAGTGAACGCCATCTAGCTGTTATAGTTCTGACTCTGGGGTGGCAGCACTGGGGCTGGTCACCCTCCCAGCCTCAGCTGGCCTTCTGTGGCCGCGGGGCACGCCCTAGAATCCGGGCCCTCCCCCGAGGTGGTCAGCTGCCTGCCTGGGCTCTGGTTGGCCGAATCCACAGCCTCGGGGACAGCTCAGCCTCTGCTCCCTTCCACGCTGGGGTTGCAGCACGTCGTGACAGGTGTCGCGATCTCACTCCTCGCCCTGACACGTAGCCTGCAGTGTGCTCTGTGTGCCTCGGGGTCGTGTGGAGTGAGGCAGGGAAGGAAGCAGTGGAGAGGAGATGGCAGGTCCCGCAGGGCAGTTTGGGGACTGCTTAGTTGTCACGGGAGGTGGCAGTTCTGGGTGTTTCTCTTGTTGTCGTGTTATGTCAGTGTAAGATGGCAGCATTCCGATTTTCTGAGGAAGTGCCACTGAAAGCGTTGCTGCATTTCTTAAAGCTGTCCCTTT